ACATGAATCAAATATGCACCTTTATTCATTTACAATAAACTCATAAAGTACATCATTCTGATTGAAGCTAAGGGCATACAAAACTGTCTAACAATGACATCCCAGCATCACCTAGGTGACGACTTGCCTTAGCCAAAACCATGAAGTCCCAATTGGTGACCTGCCTCCGCTACTGACCTGGCGACTTACCTTTGCCATCGACCTGACAACCTGCCTTCGCTGCCGAGTTGGTGGAAATTTAGCTGACGACCTCGTTCACAACTCATGGCAGCTAGCAACACCTCGCCTAGGGTTGACCTATGGTACCTCATTAGTACCGGCTGAAGTGACCTTGACGTGAGGAGCGACCTCCCTCGAAGGCTTGCCGACCTGATTGAGGTCCAGGTAGCAACCTGCAAGATGTGCTTGCTGACCTATATTGCACACATCCCATTACTCTTGGGTCTCTCAAAAGCCACCTCTCACATCGAATGTTCCAGAAGAAACCGAATACAATGCAAAGACTGGTTTACATGCACAACTACCTCCGAAGACTTCGGATCAGTTAGGCACATTTTCTGAAGATCTCTGACGTGGTGCATGATGCTCATGCCAAACAATGCCTATATAAAGGCCTTACTTCTAACCTGAGAAGGTAGATGCGCAATTTAGTTCTCGTAGCTCTCCAACTCTCCCACATTTAGCTATCTTAAAAATCTTTGATTCGTTGACTTAAGCATCGAAGTGTCCACCTCGGGTAAAGAAACCAGGGCACTCTGACACTGTTTCCTTGTAGGTCGCACCAGTAAACTATATAGCTTGTCACCATTCAGCTAGGCGTCAGAGCCACCTTCCAGGTAAGAACCATTCAGCTAGGCATCTGAGCCACCTCCCAGCTTGTTACCATTCAGCTAGACATCCGAGTCACCTGCCAATTGGGAACTACCAAAACATGCATCATTACTAAATAAGATAATTTTCACTGCTTAATTTGATAGGAAGATAGTGTGTAACATTCTGAATCGAGTGAATGAAAGAACTCCCACTAGATACCACAACACTATCGCTAGAGGTAGATCTGATGTTGCTTGTTTTTGGATTGGTCGCCATAGGGCTCTGATACCAAATTAGAATAACAAGAGAGAAAATATAAAACCATGATTGAATCTGAATTGAGTGGTTCAGTTGTGCAAGCCTACTGAACCGATATTGTGTTTGTCGAGTTTTATTGATATGGGATTCGATAGGTTACCAAAGGGAGATACAACTATGGAGAGGGATTGGGATGAAGAAGAAGTAGCTGATGAGGCCATAGGACTTTTGGCTCTGATATCAAGATAGAATTCAGATAATTACAAGAAGTAGCTGATGAGGCCATGTGTTTGTATATATATGTTGGTTACAAGAAATAATGATGTGATCTGATTACAAGAGATAATGATGAGATTCAGTGGGATAATACAATTACAAGAGATAATGGTTACAACCCAATGAGATAACGTGTTTATACTAACAGGTTAGACTTTCCTGGGTGCCTCCTATTTCAGCTGTGCGAACATAAACCACACTCCTCTCAGTCGCTCACCAAATTTGTTGTAAAAAAAATATAATGTACTTCTCTTGTTTTTTGGGGCTTTGGATGCTTTTAAGTTCGGGTGATTCTTCCAATCTAGTCTCGAAGGATTTGAAGGGGTTTGTTGATTCTCTCTTGGTCTTGTTCTGTCATTGTGGGCTTTGGTTATGGGTTGTATGGTTGTATTTTCTTCCTTTTCTCTGGCCGTGGGCCTCCTCTTGTAGGTCTGTGTATCTTCTGGTTTTCTTTTTTAATGAATTTTAATTTACTAGAAAAAAGTTGTTAAGAAACAACATTACAAACTTATATTTAAACATGCCAATTAAATAACAAAAAAGGGAAAGAAAGGAACAGGAAAATCCCAACATTTTATTTCATATTAAGAGGAAATACAATAAATTAAACATTGACTTTTCCTCCAAATCGACACTTGGCCAAGGAGAAATTGAAAAAAGGAAAAGAAACAAACAGTCACGAACACATGTTGGGAAAACACCTTTTACTCCACCAGCTCAAGGAAGGATAAACAAAATTTTAAGGGTTCACAACCGCACACTTCTTTCTAACCTGTCCAGAACTCCCAGTAAGAACTTCAATGGCGCCCATCTTCTTCATTGACTGGGCGAACTCCGTGAAGAAAGTGTTCTGGTTCAGCAGCTCCGTCACAATCTTGCTGGAGATCTTGTTGGTCAGGAGGGCAGCGTCAGATTGAAACAGGCCTTTGTGTTGCTTCACAACAGCATAGTAATGGCTATCAAACGAGACACCACTGTTGGGATCCATGAATACTTGAGTTGTGTTGTCTGAGAGGCTTCGACATTTGGTTCTCAGGAAAGCTGCATATTTTGGGTCTAGAGATGGATCTGCATCTCCCTTCCCACTGAAGTTGTACAGCCTCTTGCTGAAGGAGTTGCAGTGTGCTTGTCCGATTGTATGTGCGCCTACAACAATTTTTAACACAAATTGACCATGTGGATTAGGACGTGGCTGACCACCATTATCATTATGTTCTGGGTTAGGCCAAATTGGGTTTTCATTAGGAAATAAATACCAAATCCAAGCCCAGCCGGCCCAGTAATATTATGAAAGGCTGTGGATTTATGGGTCAGAACTTATTTATTTATTTTTTTTATAGATTTTGAGAGTGGAGAAAGTTAATCAATGGAGTTTTGATTCTTATTGATCAATATATTCGCATTCTTTTTTTTTTTTTTAAATTTATATGGAGTTATTTTCTCAAACGAGATTTTCTACTCACTACTCTATTCCCATCGTGAATTGCAGCCACACATTTCTATAATGAATTGATAGATTTGTGGCTGCAATTCATGGCGGGTAGAGTGTGGGTAGTAAAAGTGAGTAAGAAATCTAGATCCCAAAGGAGTTCAAATCTACCACCCACAAGACTGCGCCCCACAGATAGTATTAAAGAGTTCAAATCATTCCCCTCACAAGATTGCCCCTCACAACACAGCCCCGCCATATATTGGTAACATCTCCTGATGATGACATAGTCATTTCTGGGATTATGGGGCGCATTCTTGTTGAATTGCTCATATATTTTCAAAGCGAAAGCAACAATCCAACCATTGCGACAATTATATGAGCCAAAACCTTAATGTCAGACCAGCCTAAGCTGAAGCTGGATAAAGTCAGACGGGATCCAAAGGGGTTGGCACAACATGAACCCAAGTCTAAGTCTAGCAAGTTGCAGCCCTATAGAGAAATTATATATATATATATATATATACCAGGCCAGCGGCCCTTAATTACCTGATAATACCACAAGGTCATGAACAGTGAGTCCTTTCTTAGCAAAGTTTTGCTTCAGAGATGCAAAGTTGAAGGTGGGTGGAGGGATGTTGGAGACTGCCTCGGAGGCCCGGGACACCGTGCCGTCTCTTCTACCGGTAAGCACCTCCCACATTGGCTTCTTGAACTGCAATAAATGCAACATGTATGAGATCGAATACATGCAGCTCCATCTATCTCTTGCTTCTACTTCTGCAAAATTCTATTGCCTTAAATGGCAGATGTTGGGTCCCAGCTATCTTGGGTGGGTCTTATAGCAGGAGTTGACGGTGTTGATGATCATCCCGTCGGTCGAAAGAAGTGGTTCAGAAATTGTTGATTTATTAATTCTTTCTTTCTGTCTGGTGATTCAACTCCATTTGCCATTTGCCACTAAGATTTATATTAATGAATGCTACCTGATTTTAAACAAACTTGGAATTGAAGTATGGAATGAAACTTACTTGGAAGGCAACGGAGTCTCTAGCAGCCAGAGCAATGATATCAGAACAAGAAACAACTCCTGGGCAAGCTTTCTCGACTGCAGTCTTCACCTCGTCGATCACAGCGAAGCCATCCAAAGTTAAGTTGGGAGGCGCATCTTTCTCAGCTTTGTTGTTTTTGGTAGAGTTCAGTAACACCGAGGCATCACAACCCTGAAATACCGAATCATCAACCAAATTCATGACTTGGTAAGCATATATATATATATAGCAGACATGCTAGCTTGTTGCATATAAACTCATACGCAGATAGTAATTTTCATTACCCTAACAAAGCAATCGTGAAAATGCATCCTAACAAGAGCAGCAGGCAACCCAGAATCGCTGGCGACTCGTTTCCAGACAACATTCTTAACAATCTCCTCTGCATGAGGGCAGCTAGTCTTGTAGAAATTCTTTCTCAGGCCTCCTGCTTGACAAACCCCAACGACACACAACACTGCTAGACCAAACACTAATAACGGAAGATAAGTAGTCCTCATCTTCTAAGACTATTTACTAATTAGCCAAATCTCACTCCACTCTTTCGAGCAAGGGAGCAGTACTATTGTGATTGCTGGAAGCTCTTCACAAATGCGAGACGACCATTCAACACAGCCAGAGCTTCCTTATATAGGACTCAAATGGCATCTTCCACCGCCTAAACTCAACCAAAGTCAAAGATCCAGTTAAGCAAGACTTTGTTTCAGTACAATAATCTCTATGTACAGAGAGAAAGTGTCAAATTGCAGAGAAAGAGAGAGAAGAGAGAACGAAACGATATAATTAATGTATTAACTGTAGATTAGTTGATAGTTAGATAAGAACCCTTCTATTTTTTAATCTTTTTGAATAAACTATGCCTTCATTACGACTTTGTCAGTTTGTCTTTAGTGGGCTAGAGAATTAAACAAATAGCATAAACTATTCCTTCTGAAACAAATTCACGAAGAGTTAACTAAAAAACAAGACAACAATTAATTCGTCTTAAGTTACACTCTCTTCCTAGTTGATCCTACCTGCAGCAGGTTTTTCTTTCTCCACTTGGTAGAATAATGAATAGAAAAGAACAAGAAGAAAAAGAAACCTCACCACCATTGTATAGCGAGTATCGACAGTGAACAAGAACTGGTCTTCTATGGTTTCCACTTTCCATGACAAATAATTTGTGATTAGGTCATGAATGATGATGATCATCATTTTATTTTATTTTTGCATTCAAAAAAATTATTAGTTTTTTAAGTGTAAAGCGCGTGGTACACTCGAGGATGATGACTAGAGAGGAACCTTTCTTTTTCTTATTCATTTTCACTTAATAAGATCATGAACAAATAACTTGTATGCAATACAATTGAATGCCTTATAATATTTCTCGGTCTGTGTGAGTGTCTGTGAGTGATTTATTATTACTCTGTTCAAGTTATAACTGATGAGAAATCTTCCCATTGTAATAATCATAGGCCTCAAGTTGGAAATGTGTTATACAAAAAAAAACAGTTTGTTTGAAAGCCCTCGACTAGTAAAGAAATAGAAGGAAAGTGGAAATGGAAGGTTCTTGTATAAATTTCTCTCTTTCCGTATCTTTTACTTTCTTTCAAACCAAACACAGCCTTATAATGTTAATATTATATAGGCTTGGTACAATATTGGCTATTAGATGACAAGTGCATGCATAAAACATTTTAATTAGCATAAATACTAAGAATTAGGATTAGTTGAAGGCCATAGCTGTTCAGCAGGCTGTAGAACGGTAATGTCCCCGTCAGTGATAAAAGACATAAGATCCACAGTGAAAAATTAAAGGGTTGTACATGAATCCTACCTATTGTTTTATTGGGGTGAAGATTTTATCACTGGTTCCACAACCCATTAAAGCTATTATGCATCTTCTAATTCTTACTCAAATGACAAATGATAAATCTCTAATTACAATTGAGAGTCATGCAGTGTTTGGTTGTACTACCCATACATGATAGTACATGAGCTAATAGAGAGAGAGAGATATCCAATTGAAAATGTTCATAAGATGGGGCCTTTGGATAGCCTTTGTGTTGTCTTATCCATGGTCACAGCTAGCTGATGTTTACTCATTCAAAATTTTCCCACCAAATACATTTAAAGTCAAAACAGGAATACTTGAGCTAAGTTTTAAAATAATTTATTTAAGGAGGCAGGAAGTCTTAATATGCATGCGCCCCTGGATTAACTCAAGATGGCTATCTTAGATGCGATGTAACCAATAACACCCACATTAGTCATTCAGATCAATGTTTCAAAAATTAATCCAAAACAGGAATCGTTATAACCATCGGTTTTTGGGTCATTGACCAATTTAACAGTTTTTGGCTAAGGATTAAATTTGGAATAAATAAAACCAATTGTCTGAATGATTCCCAGGCTGAACGGTCCCAACTCTTATTATAATAGCGGTGAAACATTTACAGTTTATGACTGACGTGAGGCGTTATTATTGGTTACACAGCCCCTAACACGATTATTTGCAGAGACTTCAACGTACCCAATTCAACACAACAAGAAATCTACTATGACAAACACATCAACACACTTATTTTATAAATCCAATCTTCACTTTGTATATTATGATTATCGGCAGCGACAGGACATTCAAAGTATGAACCCTGATTAGGCATCTTCTAATCTTGCCAACCTTTTTTTTTTGTTAATAAAATCAATAAATGGATAACTGCTGTGATTTGGTTGGTAATATATCGGAGGTTTGTTGCAATTAAATAAAGGTCCCAACTCTTATTATAATATGTGTATCATGTGCATCCTCATATCTCTGTCTTTGCGTGGTTGAATTAATTCCGGCTTAAACTTAGGCAAGTGTGCTGGCTCTCATCATTCATTAATCTATATGTCATATAAATTAAACAACTATCATCGATCCTTTTAACTGCTACATACCTAATTGAGCTTAGTGCCAAACATTACTTGGATTAAGTCCTTCAATCACGTCTAAGATAATTATATTATATTAGGGAAGACCCATGTGAAGGGTTTTTACTTTATAATTTATTCATATTTCTTAATATTTAAATTGAAATCAAGACAATAAAGAAAAAAGTTACTTTTTTGAAGCCTTAAAACAAATTTCATTCACCAAAATAAATTACATCTCGTCCAATCAATGACCTAACAAAATCAGGCACCTTAGAGGCTTAGATTAGGTCATTGGATGATTTTGCCTAATAGCAAACTTGGCCAGTCCGTGGGCACCCTATTACAAGAATGAGATATATAATACAGCACACACCAAGAACGATAAGCTGATGTAACCCTCAATACGTATGTAGCTTTCAATTTATGTATAATCTTATGTATTAAACATAAGAAAAAGTGTATTGCAGCCCATTGCAAAATTCTGAACTTTACTGTAGATTTATAATAATTTAAAATGTCAAACATTCTCACACTAAATATCAATATTCGTCCATGTATTGGCATTAATTTCAAACTGACACCTACCCCAACTGTATGATGGGACTAAGAATTCTGATGGTGGATTGAACAATCATTTTCCCTTAAACATGCACTATTAGTATCCTTGTTAAAAGGGAGGAAATGAAGATTAGAACTAGCTATATTATTTTCAAATGATAATCAGGGGCAAAATTGAACCATGAAAGCTACGACCTTATAATTATATATCAATTTCTAGGTTTTTGTTTATATAAGGTAATTAGAATTGCACTTTTTGTTTTTTTGAACTGAATAAAATTAATTAATTAGCTAGTTTAATTGCAAATTAATGGGCATTCATCCATATATTCATTAAATATTTAATACATGCAAGAAAAATGAAAAAAGGAGAACCCTTGCATGTTTGACAAGCAAGAAATAAGCTGAAGCCAGACTTTTCTCAGCTGGAATGTAAAACACTAGTGTATTATATCATCTAATGGGAATTAAGCCTAATATATATCATAGACTAATTATATATGTAGCCCCTAATTGTATATTTTACACTACGTTAACAACGAAATATCAACTAACTCAAACTGAGAAATTAAGATTAAGCTAATTAAAGTTATGTTTGAATAAGTTTTGCGATTTGTGCTTTTGAAAAAACTTTGGAAGCCCCAAAGGATCCTGCTGTTCCATTGAACCTTATGGTATTTATATACATACGGTGGTGGAGTTCCTTGCTCCCCAAAACTTTCTAAAACGAAGTTCCTAATCCATAAAGGAAAGAGACTTCCTATATTAGTACAGGTACAGATTAGGATAAAGACTTTCAAGCCGGGACTCTCGCGAGTCTTCTTATCTTCATCCAATACTCCCCCTCAAGGTGGTGCATGAGGATTGCGAATGCCCAACTTGGGAAGGAAGGAATCAAACTGTTGTTGTCCGAGGGCCTTGGTGAAAATGTCGGCAAGTTGTTCACCGGTACAGATATAGGCAGGTGCAATAGTGCCGGCTTGGAGCTCATTGCGAATGAAATGACAACCAACTTCAATATGTTTGGTCCGCTCATGGAAAATAGGGTTCACGGCAATGTGCATAGTAGTCTGATTGTCACAAAATAGGCGTATAGGTTGAGGATGAGAGATACCCAAAGATGATAGCAAACCTTTTAGCCACTTCAACTCACAACTAGTAGTAGCCATTGACCTATTCAGCCTCAGCAGAGGACTGGGAGACAGTATGTTGTTTCTTGGTTTTCTAGGAGATGGGGGAATGTCTGAACATGATAAAATACCCAGTAAGAGAGCGACGAGTGAGAGAGCAACTCGCCCAGTTGGAATCATAGTAGGCATATAATTGCAGATCACTATCAGAGCGCAAAAATATTCCTTGACCAGGACGTCCTTTCAGATAACGAACCACACGTAAGGCCGCATCCCAATGATCAACTCGAGGACTCTACATAAATTGAGTTAGGACATGGACGCAATAACTGAGCTCCGATTGTGTAATGGTTAAATAAATCAAACGGCCCACAAGACGTCGATACCGTTCTGGGTCATCCAGGAGCTTGCCATTAGCAAGGGCAAGTTTATGATTCTGAGTAATAGGAAAGTAAGCAGGTTTGGACCCTAACAAGCTAGTTTTGGCAATAATGTCAAGGGCATACTTTCTTTGGCAAAGGAATATCCCCAATGATCCGCGAGTTACTTCGATGCCCAGAAAGTATTTAAGAGCACCCAAGTCCTTCATGTGAAAGCACCGATTCATATATTGCTTAAATTTGTGGATGAATGCTGGGTCATTCCCACCAACGATTAAGTCATCAACATAAACCAGCACGTGCAAGACAAGCCCCTCCTTGCAATAAGTAAATAAGGAATAATCGAAACAGCACTGATTAAACCCAAAGATTTTTAAGGCAGAACTTAATTTAGAAAACCAGTTCCGGGGGGCTTTTCGTAGACCATACAAAGACTTCTGGAGTTTGCATACCTTGCCTGTTCCGGAGGTCAAAAAGCCTAGAGGAGGTTTCATATAGACCTCCTCATAGAGATCACCGTGCAGGAAAGCATTGTGGACATCCATCTGATGCAATTCCCAATGTTAGGCCGCAACAGCTGCTAAGAAGGTTTGAATTATCACCATTTTAGCCACAGGGGCAAAGGTTTCATTGTAATCAAGA